ATGTGAGGGCTTTCTGATTCCAACCAACCACAGAATGGTGCTGCTTAGTAGGCCCGTCAAACGTCGTCAACTTCATCGGAGTCTTCTCCCGATCATAGTACGTCCCCAGATGAAGACAACAGCTCTGAAGAGAGCGATAATCAGCCTATCATAAAACGGCGAGTGAGAGCTGCTCATCGCAAGGTGATACTATCGCCTATATATCTCTAATATGCCGCAAGGTAACAGGTGTTGAAGTATACGGAGGATGAGGAGGATAGTGATGATGACGATACTGGGGACTCAGACGCCCAGGATGATGATGACGATGATGATGATGATGGTAACTTAGTGATGGAAGAATAGACGCTGGATCGGTAGCAAGGTTCTTCTCATGAGGAGTTGTCAACTCCCGCACGATCTTCCAAGGGTCGACGACGACGAACCCGTCCGAAGTCAACCGAGGACGAACGGGCAAAGAAGAAGTCTCGAGCGGAGAAAAAAGTGAAGCGGGAGTCTAGTGAGTTATCATCACCATCCCTAAAAACATTGTAGTCTCGTTTTAAGGTGTGGCGACTCCGGTTCCTAAAAAGAAGATAAATCGGTCGGAAAAGGAACAGCTCGTGAGTGAAGTACTCTGTCGTTGGTGGTAGGTCGTCGTCGTCGTCGTTCCCATTCGTCTGCTATTTCCCATGCAATAGGTATGCCATGCCTCCCTGGCCACCGCTTGATTATGACTATGAGAAGGAGCTCAATCGACGAGGCTTTCGGTAATCTCGACTCAGTGTGATTGATATATTACGTCATACACAGGATCGTCACCTTACAGGACTGGGAGGAAGAGGCGGACCTTGATAAGGAAGGCCGTGCTAAGGTGTATGCCCTATCGCAGGTGAGATTTGACATGTGTGTTGGGCGGGATCACAGTTCCTCGACAGTTCCCTGGCATCTATCGGGCGTATGATCGTCGATTGATCGATGTGCGACCGAATGAAGGGAAGCCTAGTTTTAACAACCTGATGAATTCAACTACTGACAAACTGAAAGCTCTTCTTAGGGAAGCCATAAAGAGTGAGTACCCTCACCGAATAGGTGTTGTTCTAATCTGGATCACCTCAGATCAGCTAGCCGAGCTACGGGCTCAACCGTCGTTCAAACGGCCTGGGAATGGTGATGAGGAGCTGGAGAGAGATCTTGTGGTCAGAGGCAAACGATTGGGGCTTAAGGATGGGAGGTGACACTTACGTAATGATGATGAATAACAACAATGGCATTTACGATATTTCACTGCTATGCGAATGTTGTGTCCTCCTATGTTGAAGTGGCAATTCATAGTAAAGCTAGAGAAAAGGTGTAGTAGGCAAAATATGTCTATTTTGATACCATCACGACGATGACGATTTTCCCATAAGTCGTCACTAACTCAACACCAAAGAGTGTCACCATTTTTTACTCCTTTTGCTAGTCGATACACTAGTACCAGCACGTCGTCCCCTCTTCTTGGGCCTCCTTGATGAACTACCACCATCAACACTACTATCAGGTGGAGTAGCACTAAAACCCCAATTGTCATCCTAAGACCATCACAATTCATTCAATCAACGACGACGACGACCAGGTCGGTACTACCGGTGATCGCCCATCGTTAGGGCTGTCCTCGCCTAAACTGAGGAGCTTGCTGAGCTCCTTAGAAACGTCTATTCTCAGCCAATCTTGGACCTAACCAACAACATCATGTAAAAAGCGCACGCCCGAAATTCACATACGGAAGATTTGCAAAATAGAGTATTGTCATCGAGCTCTCTCAATATGAACCCGCCCTTTGAACCAACCGTGGAGTTCAAATGTCTGAGATGAACGCATGCGTGCAAATGGCTACTGTTGCTCACTTGCAAATGGCTATGATTGCCATATCGCCCTTGACTACAACTCCCTCTTGCGGGTTGAGGATAGCTCTTGTGGAGGGCGAGGGACCGAGGTCACTAGGAGGGGATGATGAGATGGGAGAGTGGTATGGCGCACCAGTGACCCGACCGGGGACAGACATGTACGGGGAAGTTAAGCAAAACTGGAGGAATAGTCGAAGACAAAATAGGTGTATCTGTTCACTATGCTCAGCGGGCGCCTCTTAATGTGAAACCGTTGAAGCGTACCACTCCAACTTGAAGTATACTGATATTGGAGGATAGCCACCTTTGGACGTCATCACACTAGTGACTTCACGCTCGGGAGCTCTGCACACCCACCCCATACTAGCTCAATCGTAATACTACATCGCGGTTTATGACACCGTTAGGCCTACATGAGTTCCAGACTGACATTGCCCTCAAACGCCCTAACCCTCCCTAATAGACCTCTAGTCAGCTCCTGTATACTAACTGCAGTATCAAGGCTAGCTCGCTATCACTGCAGCTAGAGCAGTTCCGCCCTACACTTTATCAACATCTGTAGGAATGAGCATCAGGACTGCTCCAATGCCCAGGCCATACATCGCCATCTGAACCCTCTGATCCGTCAGCTTCACAAGGACAGGGGCGGAAATATATATATGCTATATACCTATACGCTCGTGGCAATGTTTACATTCTATCTGTGAAACATCAGAGCGATTACCATCAATCTCAAGAAAAAACGCCCATTTTCTACATTTGCATATCAAATTGGCACGCACTTTATGTTTGCTTTCCTCAGCTCCTGAGCTCAAGAATTTCCGTACTACGTTATGAAAATTCACACACGACTTAGTGTAGAAATGTACGAAAACCAACTATAATTTCCCAAAATTCCCTCCCAGAATTTTCATATTCCTACCAACACATGTAGTTGACCATGTGCATATTCCTTCACACTGCCCAGCTAAGTCCCCATCACTCTAAGTACTTCAACTATCAAAACATACTCTATAGTGGCATGAAGTTGATCACCAGGGCATTAATACTACTACCCCGCAATGCTGCAAACTCACCCTTCATGTGCCCATCAGTGAGTATGCAAAACGGCACTCGAAACTATAACTCAAGATAGAACAAGTATTCACCACCTGCGAGAACTCTGCAGTCAAGAAAAACACGATAGCAAAGTCCACTTATTTTCACTCCCTCCCCACTATGTGAGATGCATTCTCAGTTTTACATACTTCTATCCCTACTACTGCTAACGCGAGCTTTCCTAATAATCAGTTGGAAACTATGTAAAGTAAACTTGACAGCCTAGAAGTTATTCGGCTGATCTGAGTCTTCCGCCTCGCTGTCAAAAACTGCGAGAGCTCCCGTCGTGAGAATTATATTTTCTCTGTAAGCGACTTCCGGAGCTACAACGCAGCCCAGCAGTTCTCCATACCTTTACCAAATCAATAGGAAGACCCTTGTTCCCTTTGAACTCACTCGGACGATTTATGTCCTCTGATTTTCTCCACTTCAAAATCTCGAAGGTTTACCACACCTCGAGCGATTTCCTCGCCGGTTTCAGCCTCGACCAGCGACACGCAATCATCACGATGGAAACTGCCTGTGACGCGAGTGATCCCTACAACGTATTCACCAATAATAGCACTCTTGCAGCCTCGCCTTTACTACCCGCAGCGAATAGACTCTTCTTCCTTCTTATCGCCTCAGCAGCTCCCTTATCCAGGCTTATTACACCCCTAGTCTCGAGCCCTAGCATCCAACGTCTCCTCCAGGTCATTTTAGATACAGCGAACTGCATGCCATCAGGAGCAACTTTGAACACGGTCATGAGGCCCTTGCTAGATCCATCCCGGAGGTATTCCAGTACCTCAGCAACTTATTACCACATAAGGACAGCCCCCTACTACTACTACTACTACTATTACTACTACTACTACTACTACTACTACTACTACTACTACTACTACTACTACTACTACTACTACTACTACTACTACTACTACTACTACTACTACTACTACTATTACTACTACTACTACTACTACTACTACTACTACTACTACTACTACTACTACTACTACTACTACTACTACTACTACTACTGCTACTACTACTACTACTACTACTACTACTACTACTACTACTACTACTACTACTATTACTACTACTACCTTATTTGGCTTGGCACCATGCGTGAGGATACACTCTATACCAGCAGCTACTGCAGTCCTAGCCGCTACAAGTTTGGTCGCCATACCCCCGGTGCCTTAGCAACGAGGAACATCATTGTATTATGTCGGCTTTCCTCCGAGGAAAGTTTCCGCACTATATTGGAGTTTCACGTGAAGTGGCGTAAAACTCGGTGAAAATCGCGATATTCGCGGTGATATGCAGTAGTAGTGAAATACGTTTTTCACTAGTGTTTTTCCTATCACTAGGGTGACACTCCATAGTGATGAAACTTACACACGACTTAGAATACAAATGAGAAAAAAACCAATAATTTGCCAGATTTTTCTCATTGCCATCACCACGCGTAACCGACCATGTCCACCTTCCCACACTGGCAAGCAACATCGCTATCCCCCTCGAAATGCCCTAGTATTACCCCACTGGCTGTCTCCACCCACTTCCACATCCAGCTTGGCCAGCTCTAAGCTGCTGAGCTCTCGTATAGGTTTAGCATCGGCGAATTCATGCGGGTTTTTGTCATATAAACAGTCGACGTCAGTGAGCAGGAAAAGCCTTTCCGCATTACAGCTGACAGCCACCAAGGCGGATAACGTGTCGTTGTCACCAAAACGTAGCTCGTCAACGCATATACAGTCGTTTTCATTTATAATAGGAATAACTCCCATGTTCAACAATTCGTTCGTAGCGTTCCTGAAGTTCCTAAATCTGTCCTTAGCCGAGAAATCAGATCTAGATAAGAGAATCTGCGCTACTTTCAAGCCATACGCGTCGAAGAGATCCTCATACAATCTTATAAGAAGGGATTGTCCAGCAGCAGCAACCGCTTGCTTTAATGAAAGTTGATCAGATCTAGGACGATTTGCCAAGTTGAGTTTAAGGCAGCCGAATCCAACAGCAGCTGACGTAACAATGACCACTTGATAACCCGGTACCCTCATAATGCTAGCCACTAGATCGACTAAGCCTCCCATATTTGCCATATTTACGGTATGACAAGGCTTCATCAGCGTTGAAGTACCAACCTTGAGTACGATCAAATGCCTCTTTTGTATTGCATGCTGTTCATGCTTGTGATTTGACCAATCGTGACGACCACTTCCTGACATGGTTCGGAGTTTGCGGAAAGCAAAGGCACTCCTTAGAACAACTCTCAATAACTTAACCACCTCTCAAAAACACTGTGTTTTCACTCAAATCATCAAGTGTTCCGAAACTTGAAAATACACAGTCGAAGTCAGTGAAAAGGATGATCTCGTTGGCAATATTATCTAAAATGGATGTTCACATACTACTATATGTGATACTCAATACTGAAATTTTCACAGCGATGAAGAACTCATGTGAAACCTTGTGAATCCTCGTCACTGACCCAGTTATCGTACATGTTCTTCTATAGCAGCTATATATAGCTTCTATAGCTGTAACGCGTTCGAAAAGCTCATCATTTTGCACGCAAACGTCGACTATGGATACCGTCACTCTCACAACTACGACGCCGAAAATTGCATTTCCGAAATTCTAATATCGGTCCTCAGCCGCGAAATCAGGCATCTGCGCACAGCGAAGATTCCACACCAGAGACGGCAAACCATCACCGCTCCAGTGGCAACATGTTCTCGCGACGCACTTCCAAAACCCATGTTTGAGAATCTTCCAGGAACCTATAATGTTCCCAAGGGGGGAAGCTCATTTTGAATTCTCCACGTATGGAAGACATTCTTCAATCAGTTTCCCATGTAAATGTCATCATCACATTAGGAGCATTTCCCTCATCGTTATCAATCCCTAGAGGGGCGTTATTTCCCAAAGCCAGATGCTTCCCCAGTCCCAGTAGTCACTCAGGCCTCGCATGCCAACCACTCGACAGAGCTTAGAATTCATACATGTACCGAGATCGTACCAATCAATGGAGTTTCACCCTAGTGATATGAAAAACACATTTCACGACTACTGCATAGCGCGAATATCGCGTTTTCCACGGCGTTTTACGCCACTTCACGTAAAACGGTGTCAATAGAAACTATGCAGATGCTCAGTTCATAAAACCCAGCACGAGTCGTTAACGAATGATTCTCTATTTTTCGGTGTGGTACAATATGCACATTAACAACCACATGGAAATGGAGAATCCGAGGAAATTTTGGGAAATACTCAACTACCTTTCTACGTATATGAACTTGTATAATCAACGAGTAAACTTCCAAGCTCTTCCACTTGAGGAAAGCAAACATATATATTCCCACTTCTTAGCTGATGATCAATACAGTAATCCTAGAGCATACGCTCGGCTAGCAAGGATGACAAGTATCACGTTGACATTGAGAATCAACTCCTCTCCTGATCAACTCCACGAATAGTCATTTCAAGGGCATACATTGCCGTTTTAATTTCTGGTGATCTCAATATTTTCCAATTAAACTCTAGGGGGCAAATTGCGGAGCGAACGAAGCGAACGGAGCATATACCGCAACAACAGGCACTTTCGCGTTGTGCGTGCGTGCGTGCAGAATTATTCTGGCTTAACTACGAAGCGTGAAAGGCTATCAGATAGGTCAAACGACTCCTCAAGTGATCAGTAATAAAGCTAAGAGAGCTGCTAAAGGGAAAGGAAGAAGAGGTAACCTTGATTATGAAACGTATTTAAACTTGGTTTGTGATTTCCAGGTAAGGAGTCAACAGAGTCTGCATCTACCTAAGTTTAACTGCTTGATCTTTTTCAATGTACCCGTCGTAAAGGACGGCCTCTTAATATGACAGTTAGTTTTTAGTGAAGCTGTCGTTGCGTTGAGTGTACGCTCACTACATTATATGTTGCAGGTGTACTTCGATAGTCATAATGGTAATTCACGCTATTGTAGAAGATCATAAGTCTCAAATTCCAGGAGCTGTCCTATACCGCACTAGTCAAGTCGATGTGGAACGACATGAAATTGAGCAGTGGAATACAGTGTATGACCAACGTCGTCGTGCTAATCATATTCATCAAAATCGAGTTGGTTTTGGAACTGGTGTGGTAAAGGTCCTTTACTAAAGGATAGATTGCAAGAGTACTGTACTACTGCAAGTTGGAGAGTTTGTGGTCATTGTCGTTGTTTTGTACCTATGCAAGTTCGTCGTAGAGATGTGAGTACTTTGGGCCAAGTGAGACCACGAAATCAACCAGCTCCGAGAAGATGCGTATGGTGTAATACTACGGTGGTGGCTCATAAAGTATATTCGTATATACGTTATGATGATATTCCACCATGCTTTAGAACTACACAGCTGTTCTACCGTGATATTCTACGTTTGCGGCCAATCGAGATGATCATGCCACGTATGAACCGTACGGCAGCAGCTGATATGGGTTATAGCATATTCACTGGGAGGTTGATTCTAAGACCTCATCGTCGTTCAGTACTTACACGAATTAATGAAGTACCAGATGATGATAAGCGTGACGCTCTACTGTGGTGCTATTTATGGTTACTTGCACATAATGAGTATTATCGGGAAGCCATTCAGCAATGGACACCTGATGGGTTCGAGACTGAAGTTTCGCTTTCTCGAAAAGGATTGGAGTGTGTTTTATTCCCTCACTTGTATTGTAGACCGAGGTATGCTGAATCTGTTCAACGGGATATGGCAGACGCTCCGGTACAATTTTCGATGAAGCGAAGTTTTATGTGTAAATGCCATAACAGTGAGATTATTGACTACCGTGTGAACAAGCAGTTGGTAGTTTTCCAGTATCAACGATACATATTTCGTACTGTTACTGGTGCAGTGGCAAGTGCTGGTCCTATGGCCCATGCAGAAACGCAATCAATCAGAACGCATTCAGTACGTTTTACTGGAT